AAGTGTAATTATCGCTGCTAAAAACGAGAAATTTATACAAACTAAGCCTCCTACACACAATAAATTACTCAAGAACAACATAACCAAAAACATACAAAAAGGCACCCCAAACAACAGAAAACGAAAATAAGAAGCACAAAACAATCGCCCAAAATTAGACCTAGATGACCGAATAAATTGTATTAGCAAGGGCACGAGCCTTTATCACTAAAAGACCATAAAGAAAATTTCAAAACTAATCCTGCATGCAGACTCATAAACCCAGCCAAAAGCGAACTAGGTAAAATAAGTAAAACAATACTAGAAAGAATTAATTTGAACTTAGGAAGAAATTAGGAGTAAACCAGTGGAAAAATACGAAAACAACTATTGACTGGTTCCATAACAAACAAAATTGCCAATTCCTTGCAATTAGACATAAAAGAATTTTACCCATCTATAACAGAACGTATGCTAGATAAGGCCATCGACTTAGCTCAGGAACAAATAATAATAAAACCAAGCGAAATCAACATCATTAAGCACTCCCGTAAATCATTATTATTCCACAATGAAGAAGCATGGATAAAGAAAGATGGGATATTTGACACTACAATGAGAAGCTTTGACGGTGCAGAAGCATATAAATCATAGGGCATTTACTTACTACACGAACTGAGCAAAATAATAGATAAAAATGACACAGGACTCTACAGGGACGACGGCCTCATAATCTTAAGAAACTGTAACAAACAAAACACAGACAAAACTAGAAAAGCAATAATAAAGATTTTTAAAAAATAACGGATTCGACATAGATATAAAAAACAACCTAAACGAAGTAGATTTCCTAGATGTGACCTTCAACCTAAGAGAAGGCACATATAAACCATACAGAAAACCTAACGATAAACCACTCTACATACACACATCTTCCAACCATCCGCCTTCTATAATCAAACAGATACCAAAATCGATTAACCGCAGGCTCTCCGACAATTCCTCCAATGAATATAACAAAGCTAAAAAAGACTATGAAACGGCCCTAAAAGATAGCGGATTCCCCAGCAATACTCACATACTCACCACAGAATACAAAAAAAGACCAACAGGAGAAGAAATATCATTGGTTCAACCCACCGTACAGCAAGAACGTAAAAAACAAACGTAGGAAAAATATTCTTCAAACTCTTACATTCCCAGAATCAAGCACCTTACACAAGATATTCAACAAAAATACAGTAAAAAATCATTAAGCTGCACCGAGCATGGCACAAATAATAAAAAAAAGCACAATAGGAAAATTATCAACAAACCACAACAAATTAAACCCACGCAACTGCAGAATAAAGAACGAATGTCCCTTAAACGGAAATTGTCTACAAAACAACGTAATATACCAAGCCACGATAAAATCACCAGATAACGAAGAAAAGTATACATAGGAGTAACTGAAGGACCCTGGAAGCAAAGAAATTATACACACAAAACATCGTTCACAAATAGTAAATATGCGAACAGTACTATAACTTTCTAAGTATATCTGAAATAAAAACAAAACGCACATCACACCAAAAAATATCTTGGAAGATAAGGAAAAAAAAAAGTCATCAGCCTACAACAACCAATCAAAAACTTAAAACTTTGCTTGGAGGAAAAAATAGCTATCATTACTTCCCGACCAAAATAAATTATTAAATAAAAGATCCGAGCTCATCTCAAAATGCAGGCATGAAAATAAATTTTACTACGTAACCTAAAAAATGAAAACGGAAAAAATAAAATAAAAACAAATACAATAATAATAAAAAAAAATAAATAAATAAAAAAAAAAAAAATAAATAAATAAATAAATAAATAAAATAAATAAATAAGTACTATGTTGCTTAAAAACCGAAAACCAAAAAGAGAAAATATAAAAATAAATTGACCTAAATTCATCCAAGTAAATAAATAGGCAAACCAATCCCAAATTAAAAAACTGTTCCCGCCAAAAAAATAATAGTTAGAATGAACTACAACAACCAACCCCAAAATTGAACAAATAGCTTTAATTAAATGCTCAAACCAAAACAAAACTGTTAAATACGTGATATAAACATATTTTACTACGTTAATAAATAAATAAATAAAATAAAAACAAAAAAAAAATAAATAAATAAATAAAATAAAATAAAAAAATAAATAAAAACGAGCAATATAACTTGACCCAAATAAATGAACAAAAAGCGACTTCCGGTAAAAAACCGCCATAAATAGAATACCGTTGCTCAACCCGTATATATATAAATAATAAGAAAAATAACATGAATTGCTATAGTTTGGTCATATCTAAGTCTGAAAAATTATATATATTTATATATATATATATATATATATATATATATATATATATATATATATATATAGTGAGGTATCTTTCATTCAATAATTTAGACAATATTAGTCTACTTATATTCAACTGGATCTTTTCAAATTCACGGACAAGCTTCATGGTGTCATTATTAAAGAAATAAAATTA